CCTTCCCCCTACCAACCTCTCTCTCCCCCTCTACCAAACTTCCTCAACCACCACAGGATTCTGAGCAAAAACCGGTGGGACAAGACAATCCCAAGGTCCTTCTCTCGACTCGTCAACCTGAGAACACTGTGAGAGGAAGCGTGTGTGAGGGGACGTTTATGCGAAGAGATATTGATGTTGAAGTCGTTTTTCAACTTTCCCAGAAACATTTACAACACAGAGAGGATGTATGCAGCCTCTTTGTCTCTTGGAACGGCCACTTGTAGCCTAAGCACATGGTGACTGAATTGTGATCACTTGGCAAATTTCCACCACCAGCTCTCCCTCTATCCCCCCTTGACGTCCTGATCCCTCTTCCTCTTCTACCCCCTTGCCTCGCCTCTCACTTTTCCGTAGTGACTTAAGTGAGACGGAGATCGCAGGCAGCATACCCCCCTTCTTCTCCACCTTTGACAAGCTCGTTTCCCTGTAAGCCACGTTCACTGGATTTACTTTTGAGAATCAATTATAGTTGATCCAAAGAAGTTTTCAAACATGCCCCCCCCCCCAAGTAAATCTGGTTATATTGCCAACACCATATGATCTTTTGGTCTACTCAAAATTCATATCACCCGCCAATTTCCAACTTCCCCCACCCAACCCCACCCCCTCCTCCCAACCCCTCTTCACTATTTCCAATGCAAAATCAGATCTATCGGCAGCACCAGCATCAGTGGTAACATTCCACGTGGCTTCAGTAGACTGGTCAAACTGCAAGCCCTGTGAGCCTATAGGGTTTTTCCTATTTATCCGCCTTATAAGCAGATGGTTCGGATAACAGCATCCGCATATCTTCGCTGCATGTTCTGCAAAACGAGAGTCAAGATTGACTCTCGTTAACTGTAAGCTACTTGAGTCAATCTTGAGTATTCTGCATAGATACCGTCACGATGTGCATTCGTCTTTGGAATAATAGCAAGCTGAGTAGTTTCCTTCCCGTCTCTCTGCAAAATGACTCCATTTGAGCAAGTTCCATAATCCCACTCTACAGCAGGCGGCCAGTCATCAACATGCTGAGTCGCGTTTTTTCTACATGTGAGAGTGTTCAACGCAAGCTTGGTTCAAGTCAAATCAAAGACCAACCAGTTTCAAACTCCCTCCTCCAGGCAACTGGACAGTAACATGCTCAGCGGCTTTCTTCCCAACCTTAGTGCTGCAAAGAACCTCCGGCAACTGTAAGCTACTTAAAAATCATCCATTGTCTGCGGTCCTTCAGCTTCACTTCATATCCCTTGAAATTTCCGTTCCGGCAGCTTAAATTTCATCATGTGCTGACGTCAAACCATAATTCGCCTTTTGCCTTCCTTGTTGTAACCCAACCTTACTCCCGTTCCCTTCCTCTCCCTCCTCCCCCTCCTCCCCCTCCTCCCCCTCCTCCTCCTCCTCCTCCTCCTCCTCCTCATCCACCCCTTCTAATCCCTTCGATTACTGGTTCTCTCCTCCCCCTCTATCCCCCATCCTTCATCCCCACTCCTGACTACTCCAGTGATGTCAGTAGCAAAAAAAATTCCGGCGCCCTCCCAACCTCCCTCACCTCTATCTCCAACCTCACAATCACCGGGCAGCGCGGCCTATTTTCCCTGCCCGGATCCCGACGCTCTCTCGTACAACTGCTTCTCATCAATTCCCTCCAAGTGCAATGAAGCAATCACACCTCGTCCTGCTGACAGGTGTCGTGATTTCTGTGGGACGGGGACGAAAGCAGGCACTTGTGGGGGGCATGGCATGTGTAGGCCAGCTTAGAAGGGTAGCGATCTTCTGTTCTCATGCCAGTGCTTTACGGGATTTGTGGCTAGTAAGAATGGGTTGACCTGTGAAGCAAAGAGCAGCTGAGTAGTATCTATAGCATTTGTTTGGGAAAAAAAACTGCATGGGTTGTGGTACAAAGCCGCTCTTTCATCCCAATAATCGTGTTGTAAGCACCTATCTATTGTCATGTTTTCATGTAATCACATGAGCTATGGAAAAAATCCATGTAATGCTTCTTTACCGTAATGCCAAATTGCGAGAAAGGTATCAAGCTTGAAACTGCCCCTTTCAAACGAAACCAATTGAGGATGCGATGAACCATGGCCTTAGCAAAGCATTCAAAGGTTGCCCATTTTCCCCAGCAAAGCATTTAGTTTTGGCCTGCTTCAATTTTACACACCCTGCATTGCAAAGCTATGGTACCGTAAATGGTCAACATAACACATTACTGTGCGCTGCTGTTTTCGGGTAGTCAACCAACGTACTGCTCAGTCTAACCAATTATCACCATCCCTCCGTTTTGTGATCGGGCATTCTCTCTTGTCATCATCTTGTCGTGCTCTCACCCTCCTCTCACCATCCTCGCTTCCTTGAACCCACTCGTTCTGCTGCCTAGCTACATGTGTACAATTTCATGCCGGGATGGGATGCGCGCAGGGCTCTCGTTATCAGGGTAAAATACCCTTTTTGCACTGACTGGCGGCCGCTTTTTTTCAGTTACCCTTTCCCAGGCAGGGTAGTGGGATTTTTACCCTGGGCCATTAAGTGTAAAAAAAAAATTACCCTTTGAAATACAGCGTGCCTCAAAATTTTCCCTGACTTTACAGGGTACTTTTCCAGTTACACTGATACGGATTTCTTGCAAGCGAGGATTTCAAACCTTAACAGAATGCGAAACGGACAACAAGACCAACACTCACAAAAAACAATATCACCCCCAGGTGGAGTCACGCGAATTTCCACGCGTCCTGCCGCGAAAGTACCACATTGGTGGAACTGGCAGCCACCGTGCCAGCGCAACACGGAATCAAGGCCAGAGCAGCATTTGACAACTGCCAGACTTGTCTAGTAGCGCGCCGACAGGACAGCGGGGCTGCCATCCTCCTTTCGTGCTGAACAGGGCACCTCCTGGCAGCCACAAGTGACCACCGTGAGCCATGCAATTACGCGCTCCGGGGTCATCACGGGTGTTGGAGGAGGGGGTCGTTATCCCAAGAACTCCCCATCTTTCTCATCCTTCTCATACCCTCGGTGTGAGAACCACCTACTGGGAGGTCTCTCACATGTGGTAGTCATGCCTGCCAAGCAAACTCCTCAATCTCCCGCGGTAGTGCGTAATGGCCTTTCTGTGCTGGGAGTTATTCCTCCCCTTGCTGAGACCTACAGCGTGCCCATCTCGCCGTTGCCACCACCCGCTTCTCCCGTGCGTAGTGTGGGTATTGTATACCCGTTCGAGCCGCCGTTGAATCCTGCTGACTGGGAGCCGCACCCGTCAATTGTTCTCGTGCCAGGCGGTGGTGAAGGGTCGTCTAGACCCTCCGCGGGTTCACCGTCCACTGTGAACAGCACCCCGGGGAAACGCCCGCGTGTGGGAGCGAAGTACACGCAGCAGCGGCTATGGGGAGCCCCACCACCCCGAAAAGAAGCTTCACCGCAACGTCCAGTAGCGACCCAAGACGAGGCGCCCGCTAAAACTACCGGTGACGTTCTCTACGAGACCATAAAGCATCCCTTTGAGACGGAGTGGAAAGGTAAATTCAAGTGGTTGCATCTTATTCGGATGCCTAACGGAGAAGCAAAACTCAAGTGTGACATCTGTGTGCAGCATGGCGACCCCGCAGCTCACACTAGCTACGGTGTGAGAGGTGAAGGTGGCCGCGACCTGCACATAGGAAGCGTCCGGGCCCATTCCTCAACACGAGCCCACAAGAGCACAGTCAAGAACCAAGAAGAAGCTGCAGCTGAGAAGGAGAAACAGGCGAAACTAAATCGGTGGCAGACAACTGACGCGTCTACGCGTCACATCATTCGCGTGCTTCATATTGCGCTTTTTTTCTGCAGGGCGGATGCACCGATCTCGATGTTCATCCCGCTCTGCTGGTTCTTGGCAAAGGAAGGCCTTCCAGACCTTCCAAACAGTGGCGGATATGGCGCCTACTACACTGAGTAAGCGCATGTTTTTTTAACGGTAGCCACGGGTGATATTCATATATACTGATGTTGTTATCTGTTGTTATGTGCAGATATGGCTTCAGAGAGAATCTCCGGGCCATCTCAACGTACCTACAAGAACTGCAACGATCGCACTTGCTGGAGTCGCCTTGGATTGGCTTGTCCCTGGACGAGAGCACAGACCGAATCCACGGCAAACATCTAATCGTTTACGCTACTTTTTTCCGTGGCACGGGTGTGGTCAACGAGTTCATAACGCTCATCACTGTTGACCGTGCTGATGCAGCCTCTCTGACCTCTGCTGTGGTGCAGTACCTGACAGGGATTGGCTTGGATCTCCAGAAGATCTCTGCCATTTCAACGGACGGCGCTAGTGTCATGACAGGCAAGAACAACGGGGTTGTCGCCCGTCTGCGCATGAGGATCCCGCACCTCGCCTCCACGCACTGTGTCGCTCATCGGTGAGTGTCTCTCCGTGCACTCGGTGGGAAAGCGATGCACCATTTTAACTTCATTACTCACAACTCGTACTTTGTTTACTTGGCAGGGAGGCTCTAGCCGCAAGCGATGCCGCGGATGCTGTGCCAGAACTTTACATGGTTGAAGACATCATCCGTGGCTTTGCAGATCTCATCTCGCGATCCAACGTCAAGTACGAGAAAGTTTCATAACATTCAGCATGTTTTCTGCAAGACGAACCTGGAGGCACAAGGGATACACACCGTTCGCTGGCTGTCACGTGGTGAGGCCGTCCGACGCTTCCTCGAGATCCTGCCTGCAGCCATCGTGGTGCTCAAAGAGTACAACAATGACCTGTACGAGATTGCCACGTCGTTCAAGTTTCAGTGGTTGCTCCGGCTGCTTGCTGGCGTGTTGTGGGAGCTGAACCATCTGAACCAACGGTTCCAGCAACGGCAGGTAAACAAATCTGACTTTCATAGACTACTTACGCCCAGAAAGGAGTGTCGCTAACCCTGTCTTCTGTGCTGTCTGAACAGATCGACGTCACGCTCGTGTCTCATCTCGTGGACCAGACACGAATGCGCATGAAGAACCGGTACTTAAACTTTTCGCCGGATCATCACTTCGGGAGTGGAGAGAAGATGACACTGAACGACTTCATTCAGCGCCATCAGAAGATGGACAAGCGGGAGGTGAAGGCAGAGGGCGTGGACAGTGACGGCAACCCCGTGAAATTCAGCTACACGCTGCACGAGAATCCCATCGAAGGGCAGGAGACGGACGGAGATGTAACGGCTTGTTTCGAGCTGTCGCTGAAGTTTGTGCGTGCTGTCGACAAGGAGCTGGAGTGGCGGATGAAGGACCTGGAGGAGCTGGAGGGGTGTAAGCTATTTCGGTCAGCCTCATACGTACCTGACGACGCCAAACGTGTGGAAAACTTCAAAAAATGGCTGGCTAAACTGCACAAGCTCTACAGGAAGAAGCTTCCAGGTACGCTCGTAGACCTCATGGTGTGTACCTGACTGTTGTTTTCCCGTTCCCTTCAGCGTTGTTTTCCCATCTGCTTCTGCTTTATTCTGTCGTAACGATCGGCACACTCTCATATCTTCTCGTCTGGTCGCTTGTGTATCTCCTGGATTGTTTTGTTTAATCCTCCCCCTTCCACCCGATTGCTGCGAGTATAGCCCCGTTTAAACCCATACCCGTACAACAGGATTCGACTACACCAGAGCACAGAGCGAGCTTTGGATGTTCACCTCAACAATGTACTCTCAACACAACAACGAGGACTTTCACCAGGCACTCGGGAACATGCTTCGTGACAACGACTGGCAGCACTCGTTCCCGAACTTGATAAAGATGTGGCAGGCAGTAGCCGTCCTACCGCTGAGCACGGTCGAGTGCGAGAGGGGGTTCAGCAAGCAGAATTTGATCAAGACGTGGGACTGTGGCAGCATCTCGGACATCACCCTGGAGCATTTGATGCGCTGTTCCCTGCTGCAGTATGACGTGGACTGGTACGAGGTGGTGTCCATCTTCAGGGGAGAGAGGCTGCGGAGATCGACTAAGGACTTCAGTGGCACAAACCCGGGCGAGGCTATTTTCGCTGAAGCCGTTGTAGAGTCCTCTGACCCTGTTGGCGAATGAGTAGTAGCTGCAGGTGCTGGAATGTGTGCAAGGGCTTATGTAGCTGGTGCATTGCACATTGTGATTATGTAGTTAATGTACTGTGAACTCATGGGGTGAAAATAGACTTGCCGGTTAAATCAGTGTAAGGCCAAAATTAGTCTGACGGTTTCAGCGTAACAAAGATTTTACCCTGCCTTCGTCAAGGCAAAAAAAAAAATACCCTGCCTTCGTCAGGGTAAAAAAAAAAATACCCTAGAGGTCATACTGGTCTACACACCTACAACCCTGATTACAAAGTGTGCCCCAAAACGAATCTGAAGCTATGGATGCGCGCCTTGACATTGAATAAACGCTATCACTCGTGTATGTCTGTCCGGTCCCATTTTGCACCTGGAACATGCCAAATAGTGAATGTTGGCGTGGTTCAATTCAATGTGATGGCAGGACGTTTGGACGGGAGGATTGCCAAAGTGCAACGAATTGGATACAGTAGATGGAGGAGCAGGGTCACATAATTCAGGATTTTTACCCTGATTTCCTGATGTTTTAGGGTGTTTTATTGAAGTGACCCTGATCATTCAACCTTTTATTTTTAACGACACTGAATTTTCAGCGTTTTTTTTATTCCAACATTGTTTTTTCAGTGTTTTGCGATTTCGGACACTGATGAGTCGGTGTTGTATTGCGTTCTTCCCTGAAACTGGAAACTGCATTTCGCCAAGTTTGGCGCGTCGTCTGCATTCAGGTACCCACTGTGCACCTACATCACCCTGCACTGGCCGAATTTGGGTGTTATTGTCAAAGGTGCAATCTGATTGGCTGTCCAATGTGTGGCAACGTCATGCTGGTTGCAGTGTGCTAAGGGAACCCATGCAAGGGTTCTCGTTATTGATATAGCTGATCAGTGTTTAAAATTTTGGCACTCCGAGTGCTGATCGTTTTTTTTATACCCTGAAAAATCAGTGTATTTCCTTGGGATGAAACTGAAAATCAGTGTTGCTAGGCTAGGGACACTGAGTGCTCAGGGTACCCAAAAACCAATCTGAGGCCCTGTGGAGGAGTTGAGTACAAATTATGATACGGTAGAAAATCCAAATCGACTGGTAATGCTTATGGAGCAGCAAATGGCTTATTATGCAGAGCGGTGATGTCATGCCACGCCATGCCATGCCACATCTTTATTCCTTCCTCAAACTACCGTACTACTCCGGAAGTGGCATGCTAAACCAAGGACAGTACTATTTCCTTCACAGCGGATTGTTGAAACAAAGCCATGATTCAGGCGGCACTCATGTGCTGTTCTTGGAGCACCGCAGCTTCTGGTGGGAAGCCCAGTACCCAGCCTGGCACTTGCACATGGGCACAAACTCCTTTGTGCCACGCGACTCATCCACAGCCATCACGCACACGCCCTTGCCGCTGCACGCCCCCGTGGCCGTGGCCGACCCACAGAACTTGTTGCACTCGGCTGCGCTCTTCTGGGCGGCAGGCTCGCCGCAGTTGGGCGGCACGGATGAGAGGCAGTTGCCGCCCAGGGAGAAGGCTGAGCCGGAGAAGTCGTCGGAGCAGGGAAGAGAGGAGGCTGAGCCGGAGAAATAGTTGTCAGCTGCGTTGAATTTCTGGACTTGGTGCAGGAAGGCCGGAATGGGGCCTGAGAAATAGTTGCCAGAGAGGTCGCTGGGGGAGTGCAGAGGGAGTGGGGAGAGGGGAGTGGGGGTTGGGGAGAGGGGCGTGGGGGGTGTGGGGAATGAGAGGGTGAGGAGACGAGTGTGGAATGCAGAGAAGAGGCAGTTGCCGGTGACGGAGAAGTCGTCGGTGCAGGGAAGAGAGGAGGCTGAGCCGGGGAAGTAGTTGTCAGCCGCATTGAATTTCTTGACCCGGGGAAGTAGTTGTCAGCCGCATTGACTTTCTTGACCCGCTGCAGGAAGGCCGGGATGGGACCTGAGAGGTAGTTGCCGGAGAGGTGTCACGGTAATCTCCTTAATATGAGCTTGTGGAGATTATCGGGACAACTGCTTAAGGTGTTTAGCGATTTCGGTGTGAAAGGGGTAGTGTACTGAAATTGCGAGGGGTACAGGGAGGGACGGAGGTTGAGGTGGTCGAATTGGGTGAGCGAGCGGAATGAAGCCACAGTGACGTGGAATTGGGCCCACTTTGACAAAGGCGATTCGGAGGAGGGTCAAGCAACAGTGACATGCAGGAGGGGATGAGGGGATTTGGGGCAACATCCAGGTGGAAGTGCATTCTCGAAACGGAGGAAGGAGTAAACCGTCGGGTGTGGGGGTGGGTGCTCTGGAAGGAAGGCGATAGCAAGTTCGAACTAAACTAGCAGTGAGGAGGGAGTCTACCCACTCTTGTTTGTTCTCTCGATGTTATGGGATGTGTGCAATCTTGCTTAGTGGAATTCTCCCAGAGCAAACCACAGAACCATAGAGTGAGAGGCCAACCACGAGGCGTGTTTGTGAGAGACTAGACTAACTAATTCTAGGAATACTTCTTATGAGTCATGTTCAGAAAGAGTGGATCACGTACAAGCGAAGGAGTAAGGAGAACCCATAGTGGCAGCTCAAGAGGAGGAGAAGAGGGAATGCGACAGAGGTCACTGGGGTGGTGGGCGGATGGAGTGGGGAGAGGGGAGTGGGGAGGAGTGGGGAGTGTGGAAATGGAAAGGGTGAGGTGGATAGGTGTTATGCAAAGAGGTAAGATGCAGAGAGGTGGGTTGGTGGGTGGGCAGGTGGGCAGCAGGTGGGTGAGCAGGTGGGCGGCAGGTGGGTGGGCAGGTGGGCGGCAGGTGGGCGGCAGGTGGGTGGGCAGGTGGGCGGCAGGTGGGTGGCAGGTGGGCGGCGTACATGAGGGTGAGCTTCTTGAGGGTGCTGAGGCCGGCCACAGAGCCGTAGAACAGTGCATTCTGGAGGTACCTGCAGTGGTGGAGAGAGATGGGTGGGTGGGAGGGAGGGATGCAGAGAGATGAGTGGGAGGGAGCAAGTGAGTGTGGATTGGCAAGGAATGGGAGAGGAGGCGTGAGGTTGAAGGGAGGGGTGATTTCGGCATGGGTGCAGCCTTGCGGGGTGGAAGGTCAAAGCACACCCTTTGCTCATCAACTGCATTGCCTGGCACTTGCCCATCCCGCTGCTCCTTTGAAGCGTCTTTGAATAGTCCGTTTCTTTCGGTGCCTCAAAATCTCTGCTGCCCATTGCTCCTATGCAACAAAAAAATATACTCTGCGATCCCCTCCCCTAAAGACCCACAAGACCATGTCCTCCCCCTGCCCTCCCCCTGGGCCCCCACGCCCCTTGCCCTCCCCCTTCCCCCGTCCGTGCCTCCCTCCCCCACCAGCCTCACAGCTCTCTGAGCTTCGTTAGCCCGCTGAGCGCCCCGGTGACCTCCCCGTGCAGGCGCGAGCTGGACAGGGAGCTGGGGGGAGGGAGGGGGAGGGGAGGGGAGGGAAGGAGAAGGAGGAGAAAGGAGGGGTGAGTGTGAGGAGGAGGTGAGTAAGTGGGCACCTCCCCATGCAGGCGGGTGCTGGACAGGGAGCTGGGGGGAGGGAGGATAGGGAGGGGGAAGGGGGAGGTGAGGGGGCGGTGAGAGGGCGGTGAGAGGGCGGTGAGAGGGAAGCAAGGGGGTGGAGAATCGGGGCAAGAGAGGGCAGGATGGGCACTAAAAGGGCAGTGAGTCAGCTTACAGGTATGTGAGCTTACAGGTATGTGAGCTTACAGGTATGTGAGCTTACAGGTATGTGAGCTTACAGGTATGTGAGCTTACAGGTATGTGAGATGGCTCAGTTTTCCCAGGAACGTTGGAATCTCGCCCTCCAGTGAAGTTTCCATCAGCCCGCTGAGAGGGCAGCATGGGGTGAGGGGGTGCGAGGAGGGAAAGGGGGAAAAGGGAGTTGGTTGTGACATGGCAGATAGTTAGACCCCTGGGGGTAAATGGGGGGAGAGGAGCGGAGGGAGAGGGGGCGGGTGGAGGGATGGCATGGCAGGGGGTGATAAACAGCGGGTGTAATTTTGAGCGGTTGAAACGTGGCACGAGAAAGAGAAGGAGAAGGAATAGGATAACGAAAAAAAAGACGAACGACAGGGAGAGAGAGAGGCTGGTGAGCCTGAGAGAGAGACTCACAGGAGCCTGAGCTTCTTGAGTTTGGAGAAGGTCTTGGGAATGGCACCCTGCCAGTGGTTCTTGCTCACCATGCTGTGCAGGTTGGGGAGGGGCATTGGGAGTGAGTGAGTGAGAGGGTGAAATGAGATTGGGTATGCAGTGAGTGAGAGGGTGAAATGAGATTGGGAATGCGAGTGAGTGCGCGGCAGAGATAGAGCAGTGGTGGAAAGCTATATTGGTGTTACTTTTGCAAATTCTCTGAAGAGAGAGCAGTGGTAAAAAGCAGCCACACCTAGGCTTTACAAAGAGGTCGGCAAGAGGATCAAGGAACAATGCAGTAGCAGTTGCTCCTCTCAATTCTCTGTGCACCAAGATGGCAAGGCTCTTTAGGTGCACCGCACTGCACCCATCGCTACTCCTTTATCAACACAGTTGCTCCACTCTCGGTGCTTACTGAACTCGCAGGCACTCCTCCCTAAGTGTGGCGTGGCGAACGCACAGCGTGCAGAGGGGAGAGAGTGCCACTCACAGGCACTCTCACTGAACTATCACTGAACTCTCACTGAATTTTCACGGAAATCTCACGACACTCACAGTCGCTCTCACTGAACTCACAGCCGCTCCTTTCACAACACTCACAGCTGCACCCCTTCAGGCGCAGGCCCACTCACAGCTGCTCCAGGTGGGTTAAAGAGCCGATGAAGTCCGGCAGCGGCCCGCTGAAGCGGTTGTTGTCCAGATAGCTGGAGGGGGGGGGGGGGGGGAGGGGGAGGGAGAAGGGGGGGAAGATGAGAGGGTGGGGGGAAGGGGGAGAGGGGGAGGGTAGGTGGGGTGAGCGGGGAGGGAAGATGAGAGGGTAGGGGGATGGGGCAAACAGCAAGAGAGAGGAGTAAGGACGAGGTTGGGAAGTGATGGAATGGGAACTAGCGTGCCGAGCACACTTTGTTGCTTCACTCTCTCTCTTTCCACTCCCTTCCTCCCTCCTCTCTCTTCCTCCGCCCTCCTCTCTCTTCCTCCGCCCTCCTCCCCCACCCCCAGCCCCTCTGCCCCACCCCGAGCACCTTTGCCCACCCCCCCAGGCACGCACAGCTCTTTGAGCTTCTTAAGATTGGTTCTGTCCCTCCCTCTTAATCGCACCACTCCACCCCCGCAGGCACCCACAGCTGTTTGAGTTTCGTCAGATTGGCAAAGCTGGCCGGCAAGGCCCCTCCCACGCCGTCCTTTCCGGTTCCAGCGATGTTGCTGCCAGCAAGCATGCAAGGATGATGAGGATGCTTAAAGTGAGTCAAGGATGCTTATAACAAGATGGGGATGCGCATCACAAAACGAGGATGACTTATCATGAAACGAGGATGCTTATAACGAGTCGACGGTGCTTACAGGAAGACGAGGTTGACAAGGCTGCCGAGGCTGGAAGGCACAGCACCTTCAAACGAATTATCACAAGTGCCCCTGCCATTAAGCCAATAGCGAGGTCACATGCGTGTGGGGAAGGCAAAACAAGAACCGATTGCTCCTAAAGTTTTGAGACGTCTCAAAACAAAACAAGAACCGATTGCTCCTAAAGTTTTGAGACGTCTCAAAACAAAACAAGAACCGATTGCTCCTAAAGTGCGCCTCAGAGGGTGGCGCGAGAGGGCTTGTGGAGAGGTTGAGGGTTCGAGGGCTATGGAAAGGAGACAGAGAGAGAGAGAGAGAGAGAGAGAGAGAGAGAGAGAGAGAGAGAGAGAGAGAGAGAGAGAGAGAGAGAGAGAGAGAGAGAGAGGAAAAAAAAACACACAAAAAAACAAACAAACAAACAAACAAACCAACCAACCAAAAAAACAAAGAAAAATAAACAAAACAAACAAACAAACATGTCGCTATTGAGACGCCTAAAAAAGAATTGAGTGCATTCGCGGATTCACATTTGCATGCAAGAACTCTCGAAAACAGCCTGGCGTGGCGTGGCGTCGCATGGCATGGCATGGCGTGGCATGGAATAACATGGCACGGCATGGCATGGCGGCATGGCACAGCATGGGTTGTTGACTGACAGGTATGTGAGGGCTGTGAGCTGGCCAAGGAAGGCCGGAATGCGCCCCTTGATAGAACAGCTGCACACATTGCTGTGTGCAACCGGGGGAGGAGAGGGCGGGTAGGAAGGAGGGAGGGAGGGAGAAAGCGAGGAGAGATGGGTTAAGGTATGCGTCTTTTGATCTCACAGAGGAAGGGAAGAAGGAGGAAGTACAAGGAGAGCATTGCGAGAGTGAGGGAAGAGAGAGGAGAGGCAGGGGCAAGGCCAGCAGGAGGGAAAGAGGGGAGAGAAAGAGGGAAAAGGTGTTTAATGGAGCACAGCAGTAATCATTGCAATGTGGAGCACTAAGGGCTTATCTCACTTCGGGTCATAAGGCCACTTTGGGTCATCACTCTACACTTTCGGTCATGGGAGGACCAATGATATTCCAGTAGTGTAGCTAAAATGGGCATCATTGGTCGTCCAAGAATCTCGGATGACCCAAACAGTGCCCATGACCCGAACTGAGATACGCCCTAATGGCAGCCCGTCAGCCAACCGCACTGCACCGCACCGCACTGCATAGGACTGCACAGCACTGCGCTCACAGGTGGTTGAGCTTCTTGAGCTTGGCGAAAGATTGTGGCCGTGCCTCCACGCCGTTGCTGTACCTCACAACCTTGCCCCCCGCACAGCACCGCATTGCACCGCATTAAACCGCATTGCACCCCAGGGCACTCACAGGAGTTTGAGCTTCTTGAGCTTGGTGAAAGACTGAGGCAGCGCCTTCACACCGTTAATGTAACTCAACTCGCTGCGACCACACCGTGCAGTGATGGGAGCGGAGAGGAGAGGAGTGGAGCGGAGCGGAGAGGAGTGGAGAGGAGTGGAGAGGAGCGGAGAGGAGTGGAGGAACGGAGAAGCAGGGGAGGAGCGGAGAAGAAGGAAAGGCGTTTAAACAAGAGGAAGGGATGGAAGGGGCGAAGGCGAGAGGCTTGACAACGACACGAAACAAAATCCGAGGCATATAGATCAGAGAAATGCGAGAAAGAGAGAGAGAAAGCGACAAGAAGCGAGCTTGTCAGCCGAACCAAGCGGAGACGCAAGGAAGGCCAAAAGCATGTGAGATGTGCGATTGAAAGAGAGAGCACTAACCAAGTGAATAAGTTACCTCAAGAGTCGGGGAGCGGGTGTGCGGTGCGGGTGCGAGAAGAGGGTGTAAGGATGGATGGGAAAGAGCAAGGGTGGATGGGATGGGAGCGGGTGAGGCTGGCACGTGAAAGGGAAGAGGCTCGGCTGGGAGCGACTGGAGGCTCACAGGAATTGCAGCTGGTCGAGCAAGGAGAGTGCGTCGATGGGTCCCACGAGGAGAGTAGGAGGTGAGAAGTCCGATGGGAGTGAGGTGTGCGAAGTGAGGTGTGAGGAGTGAGGTGTGCGGAGTGAGGTGTGAGGAGTGAGGTGTGAGGAGTGAGGTGTGAGGAGTGAGGAGCAAGGGGTGAGGTGTGAGGAGTGAGGAGCAAGGAGCAAGGAGGAGGGCTCACAGGCGGTGCAGCTGGTCGAGCTTGGAGAGCGCGTCGATGGGGCCCACTAGGCGGCTTGACGGGACGTAACTGAACGCGGAGGTAAGTAGCAGCACGGAGCAGCGAACACAATACCCACACAAGAGGAAGCAGCAGGGAAAAGATGAGTTGAAGATGGGGTAAATAGGTGTTCTGAGATTAGAATTCGGAAGCACGGGGTGCCACGTCACTCACAGGGCGACAATATTTCCCTCCTCATCGCACGTCACTCACAGTCGTCGCACGTCACTCACAGTCGTCGCACTTGACTCACATGGCGACGATTTTGCCCTCCGCGTCGCACGTCACTCCGAAGTACGTGGAGCACTTGGCAGGCGCGCCACTGGCCGTCCACGACTTGAACCCATCGAACTCGCTGCCCGACTGCGCGCCGAGCTGACGGAGAACGTCCACTGACGGACGGAGGGGGACGGAGGGGGACGGAGGGGGATGGAGAGGGTCGAACGGGACGGAAGAATTAGGAGAACGTTGAGAAGGGCGAAAGACGACGCTTTAAGCACGTTCCACGGGGAAACCATCCCAGCCAATGGCAGAACGACACGTACGCTGCGATTTGAGGATGGTCGCATCGGGCGACGCGGCCAAGCGGATTGCGTCGCCGGATGGGAGGAAGGCCGCGACGACGATCGCGACAACGAAGACAATGAGCGACAGCCGACGCAGGCGGGCGAGCGACGCGATTAAAGCCATCGAGAACTGCTTGTACGGCGTCGATGGAGCAACCTGAGGGCGCGGCGACGACGAGGAGCAACCTGAGGGCGCGGCGCTTTTGAGTCGACTCAAAACCTAAGGGCGCGGCGACTACTGAACCGAGGGTATGGAAAGACTCGAGGGTATGGCGATGATAAAACCGGCAGATGTGGGCGGCGGTGAGCTGAAGAACAGGGCAAGGTCTTGGGGAATTGCGTTCGTTCATATATAGTGCTTGGACCCTTTGGGCAACAGCGGCAGAGGCTGTAAGATGTAGGAGGTAGTGCAGGTATGCAGGAAGAACGGCGCGGCGCGATAATGGCGAAGCGAGCGAGAGAGAGAGCCGCAGTGGGGCCAGCAGTGCGAAGGACGGGGATCAATGCCGCGCCTCCGCATCTTCGCGGCCGGCTGGGGTAGGTGAGGGAGTTGGAGTCGCGCTGCGGGCTTGTGATTAGGCCGATGCAGTGGGTGGTTGCTGGAGGCTATGGGAAGGTGGTGTTCCATCGACGGTGAACGATGGCGCATTATCAATCGCGGCTGGAGATTGCGTGAGTCGGCAGCCGTCAGATCGTGAATTAGCTCGGCAGAGACGCCGGCGCAGCAACAACATTGGGTTGAAGCGAAGAATAATTGGGACTAAGGTTTGTTCGCGATATAAAAACGTTGGGTGTCGTTATAACCATTCTATTCGTAGTTTTGACTCACTCATCACTATAAGCCTACAAAGAAAACTGTAACAGATGCGCTATCTGTTCGCGAAATCCTCTCGTTCCACACAGCCGCGATTATTGGACCAGTCAAGGCACCAATAATTCTTCTGCACAGGCGCGCCGTCGCTGGCGGTCAACAGCTTTCCAATCCGACGGCGGTGGCTTGGGAAGGCTCATCTCGCTCACGGATTCCGCATCTATTCACCGTCGATGGGAAGCGACATGCGGTTCGATAATCTTATGATGAGGCACGCGCTTCGAGCAGGAGGCATTGCATTGCATTGCACTTCGATGCAGCCAAACCAGGCATCAGCTTCCGCCGTCGCTTGCGCTGCTACCCCCACAAGTCCGCCCTCTCCCTCCATTTCGCCCTCACAACTGTTCCTGCCAAGGCAACAGCACTATAAATACCCACTGGATGCGGTAGGCCGTCGCACTATCACCCGCCAAGGTGCGACTCCCTAGTCCCGGCCCAACCGACCATTACACCCGTTCTCTGGCTGAACACCGCAGTGATTTGCCTTGCCATACCCTTACTTCAGTTTAGTAGTCTCCATATTTCCGGCTAACCTTCGACAAACCTGTATTAATCAACTCACGCGATTTCTGCGCCTGATGGCTTCTATCGCGTCGCTCAAGCGTCTACCTCGACTAGCGCCGCTTGCGCTCGTCAGCTTCATCTTCGCGGTCGTCTCCGCGGCCTTCCTCCCCACTGGCGACGCAATCCGCATGGCCGCGTCGTCCGATCCGATCATCCTCAAGTCGCAGCGTACGTGTCGGTCCGCCATTGGCTGGAACCCTTTACCTTGCTCAGAAACTTCAAGCAATGTTGGTCGCCCGTATCATCATTCCCAACGTCTCTTCCGTCCCTGTCCGTCAGTGGACGTTCTCCGTCAGCTCGGCGCGCAGTCGGGAAGCGAGTTTGAGTTCTCCAAGTCATGGACGGCAAGCGGCGCGCCCCTCAAGTGCTCCAAGTACCAGGGAGTGACGTGCGATGCGGAGGGAAAAATCGTCGCCATGTAAGTGCCCTGCGAAGACTGTGAGTGGCGCGCGACGACTGTGAGTGCCGTGCCTCGCTGTCGATTTCGAGTCGAGACCAGCAAGAGATAAAACAAAACCGTAACAAATTCCGCCTCTCGCAGATTTCTCAAAATGAAAGGCGACGCAAGATTCACCACCTGCCACCTGCCTGCGACAGTGTCACAGCTGCGGCTCCTGTCCCCCATGTACCAACTTCAACTTGAGCTGCAACTCGTTGTGAATAGCACGCTCGTCACGTA